GATAGTAAAATATTGTCCAAAATACACATTGTTGCACTCTCCTAACATGCTATATAACCAACTGCTGCTTGATCATTTTCTGAACACGTTAACTATGAAGTGGCTTTAGGATTTTGGACACAAATGAAGCTTTCCAACCACTTTAAAGCACAAGATCCTATTCCCAGCAATCACAGGATAATGCACATTTTAAGCCCCTCTGCCTTGCCCCAAAGAAGATGTTTGCCTCGTGTCGCCCAATCATCTTATTCAAAGGAACACAAAGAGCAGATGACATCTGGGGACATTCCATTACAGCAGGGACTGCAAAGGGTGGGATAGTGAGGCAGGAAGGATGGGTGTGAAAATCACAAGACCAAATTCTTCCCTGACCTAAGCCCACAGACTTCAACTTCTTTCTTTTTGCCTCCTGAGGAATAAAGAAAATCTGCTTTGAAAGACAGTGCAGGACGTTTGCCTATGTGCCAGTCATTTACACTATATAAAGTATTTCTGCAGTCTGCCCGGTTGGAATAGCTCTAATTCTGCTTTCATCGGAGTAAGCCCCCTGCAGTGCAAATGAGGAGTGCAGAATTGGGTTGGTACATTGTAAACTCTCCTGGCAGAGAAGCCTAATCTTTATCTGTTCTGTAATGCACCATGCACACTTCCCGTGCATGGGACAGAGCCTCAGCTGAAGTCAATGGGGGTAGCTCTGTTCAGTGCTTAATTTGTAATGAAAGAGGTGCTGGGGCTCAGGCAATGAGGTGCCGGGGCTCAAGCAATTTTTCTACTTTCATAACTGAAGCTGCAAGCCCAGAGGTGCCGGGGCTATGAACTGCCAAGCCTAGAGGTGCGGGGGCTCAGCCCTGGCATAGCATGGGTCCTGGTACATCACTGAAGCTATGGCAGTTTATACCAGTGGAGGATTAGCCCCAATATTTTTAAACATTGCCTTGGCCTGTCTGTCTTCTGGGGTAAGGCTCAATCTTACAGCCTGGGGCAAAACTGCCATTTACATAAACAAAAGTTTTGCTTCAGTAAAAACGGAAGGATCACGCCCATAATGCGCTCAGGCATTCGCTTCCTCTTCACAGTACTTGGTATGACTTTGGTACAATGCACTGCACAGCCTTTGAACACCCGACAGGAACGGGCAGCAATCAGTAAAGAGCAGAAGGTTCTTTAAAACGATAAGCTGCTGAGTGTTGAAAAATTCATTCCACGCTACTTCCAACTCTCTGTCTGCAGGGCTTCGGAGGGCAGAACCGTGGAAGTGCCTTACAGAGGGGACGTGGAAACCACCATCTTTGATATCCTCGGGGGCCTGCGATCCACCTGCACCTATGTGGGAGCTGCCAAGCTCAAAGAGCTGAGCAGGAGGGCGACATTTATCCGGGTCACCCAGCAGCACAGCCAGGTGTTTTCTTAACCAAGGACTGGGACCTGTGAAATGCGTCTGCCGCTTCTCCCCACTTCCTCTGTGTTTTGTGTTAGAGCTTCATGGGGGCAAACCCCCCAGGCTGTGGAAGTAGGTGGGTCAGTTGCCTCTGGTGACGGGGTTAAGCAGAAGGACATGCCATCAAACACAGCGCCATGTAGGATTCTTTTGGTTCACGATGCAATAGCCTCATCTTTTAAAGTCACGTCTATTTGTTTTAAATCTATTTTTTTTCACCATTTGTTTTTCTCTCTGATAAAGAAACCTCCATTCACAGTGAGTTAGCCTTCCAGACCCTGATCGCTGTTACCAAGTTTTAAAACATCCCCACAACCTCTTGCTAGCACTGCTCCAGCAGTACGGGCTATAGGAGCTGCCAGCTGGGAGGGGATGTTGATGTTCAGTATGTTGATCTATGTAACCAAAGATCAAAGCCATACTTTTTGACCTTTCAGATGGCTGGATGAGCCAACGTTGCTGCTGCATTTTCACTGTGGTGTTAAAAATGCTGGAGCTGTATCAATGGCATTTCATGTGCCTTTTAAGGCCTTTTGTATTTAAATCACTATATTAACGGACTTACCTCTCCATAGACACTGGCATTATAATGTAGTGAGTGCTTCCTCCTCCCACCCCCACCCAGAACATTTAACAGGGTACCAGTTTTTTGGTGGATACAATCCTCAGAGTCTCAGGGGTCCTGTTTTTAACATAATCTCTGAATAGGTTTTGAAGCTGTAGACACACAGCAATACTCAACACCAGCAGCCTGATTCTGCACAGCTTTGTGATTTGCATAGTCATTTCAGCTGACACAAAGCAACTACGAATACACACTTGCTTTACCCGGGTGTAGAAATGATTACACATTGAGCAAGGCCTGGGGAATCAGGCCAAAGGGGTCAAATCCATCTCTCTGTTACCCTGGTGCAACTATTTTGAAGTCATAGGTGTAACCGAGAGCAAAATATGGCCTGCAGTAGACCAGCTGAAGACTTCGTTGCAAGAAGCCAGTTGTCTGATCTTGAGTTAAAGCAGTTGCTGTGAAGACAATAATTAATATTTTAGACTCTGGGCAACACTTTAATAAACTGTAATGGTAGAGTAATTAATTGATAAATCACAATGAAATTTCTTTGGAAGTACACATTGAATCCCCAAGAATACCACAGTAGTTCATTATGATAAATGTTATTAGAGTGAATACCAATGAATTAATAATGACCGGCCACTTACTTTAGCGTGTTACTGAGATATCAATACAGTTGGAAACTGAAGTAACTTCAGAGTCTTATTTTTCCTTCCATGGAAAGATATAGACTTCCTTTGGAACGCAAAACTGTGACCTGTGGGAAGAGGGGCAGGCAGGAAAGCAAATGGAATTATTCTAGCATTCTTTGTTGTTTAGAAAAGATAAAGGAGAATCGGTACAATGGAACATGTTAAGTAACAAATCTAATTCCCAAATCAGTCATTGATGGTGTTAATCAGATTATGCATAATGGGAAAAGCCTAGATGATCCTTCATCTGAAGGCAGGTGGTTTACAATTAAATGTTAAGTATTCTCCATTAAACACTGTGGACCTGATTCTCATTTACAAGAAGAGACTGCCCTGGTATTTTACAGGGGGGCCTTAAAGAGGGCATAGGTTACATGTACACTGATTTTAAGGCCCATTTACACAGCCAGAGTAGTGTAAAGAAACTTAAGTGTAAATGAGAATCAGGCTCCCAGGCCCTGCAAATTAACTTTTCTTCTGAAGTTGGAATTTATATGTAGTGAACTCTAAAAAGGCAGCCGAATGCTTTCTTTACTAAAAAATAAATAAAAATATTGTGGGCCAAATTCTGCTGTCAGTTAAACTGATGTAAACCCAGAGTAGCTCCACTGAAATCTATGAAGTTACTTGGAATTTACATAGGTATAACTAAGAGTAGACTGTCTCCCCTCTCCCCCCCTTTTGCCCCCAGCCACATACCCATAAGAAAAGTGTATTTGTATACAGGTAAATCAAAACTTCTTCAAGGAATGAGGTTATACTGAATATACACTCATACCACCAGTGCATTTCCATACTTGTGCCTTCATACTTCAAAAGTGTGGCTGTCCCCTAGATGCTCCCAGGTTGGGATGCTAATTGGTTTTATATGGTTTTTGGGGCTACATTTATAAATGTAAAGTTTTTTTTTAAACCTCTGCACATTTAAAAGAATAGATCTTTAATGTACACATTGGAACGGCTTCTTTTCTGCAGTGAAAACTCCTTGATTCTCCCCTGCCTTGGCCATTATGGAGTCAGTTACACCTGTGCAAACAATAGTATGTAAAATGCAGCCATTCGGACTCGATGGCATTTTACACCCACTTTGCACAGGTGTGAAAGACTACTAAAGGTCCCACCAGTGGATAATGAGGCACTACATGGTACATATCCACTGCAGCTGGAAGGTGTGATGTCCAGCGTGGGTGGACACTTTTTTGCTAGCTCAGCGTGAGCTAAAGATAGCAGTGTGGATGTAGCCACCCAAGCTTAGACTCAGGCCTTGGCTACACTGGCAGTGTACAACGCTGCAACTTGCTGCGCTCAGGGGTGTGAAAAAAACCCCCTGAGCGCAGCGAGTACAGCGCTGTAAAGCACCAGTGTAATCAGAGCCTGCAGCGCTGCACACTCGCTCGCAGTGCTGCTATTCCCCTCGGAGAGGTGGAGTACATACAGCGCTGTGAGAGCTCTCTCACAGCGCTGGCGGCGCGACTACACTTGTGCTTCACAGCGCTGCTGCGGCAGCGCTCTGAAGTCCCAAGTGTAGCCAAGGCCTCAGGTTTTTGGGTGGGCTTGGACTCAGGTTGCTAGTCCATGCTGCAACACCCACACTGCTATATTTAGTGTACTAGCTCAAGCTAAGGTAGCACTAGGACTCTCACCACCCAGCTGCAGTGTAGACGTACCCATAGGCTTTAGAAGCGTGGTGTGTTCTATAGGTTCTATGTGATGCTGGGGAAAAAAGAAGCCATCATTATGATGCTGAATTATTTTTATTAGCACCTTACCCTCTTCTTGGTAACCAGCAGCTGTTTCCACTGGAAGGGAAATAAGCAACAGAAGGCAGCCAGCTGTAGAGCAGTTCAACTGGCGGAGACCCACCCTGTGTGGTTCAACTGGGTGTTTCTTCAGAGGACACCTTCAGTCAGATGGCTCCTTTCACAATGCCCCCGGTACAAATACGTATGCGTACAGCAGGCACACGTTTGAAAGTGGAACAAAGAGATTGGCCTGAGGCTAACTCAGGACCCAGTTTGGTGAGGTGACAGGTGCCCTCAATGTCTGTAGGACCCAGCTCCTCCTCCCGCTCCAGTTAGGCCTGGTCCACACTAACCCCCCACTTCGAACTAAGGTACGCAAATTCAGCTACGTTAATAACGTAGCTGAATTCGAAGTACCTTAGTTCGAACTTACCGCGGGTCCAGACGCAGCAGGCAGGCTCCCCCGTCGATGCCGCGTACTCCTCTCGCCGAGCTGGAGTACCGGCGTCGACAGTGAGCACTTCCGGGATCGATCCCAGAAGATCGATTGCTTACAGCCGGACCAGGAAGTAAATGTAGACCTGCCCTTAGAGGCCAAACTCTTGTTGAAGTCATTGGAAGTTGAGGGTGTGCTACACCTGGCAGTATTAGGCCCCGAAGCAATTAACTTGAGCTACCGCATCTGATCATTTTACAGGGTTCTCCAGTTCTTAGTGTCCTTCCCAGGGGCTTAGCATTGTGCTGCACTTCATGAACTGCTATCGGGTCAGCTGCCAAAAGAGCCCCCCCGCTACATTGCAAGTGTCTTAAGCAGCGGCTACCCATGACACGGGGCCAAATTCTGACTTGCTTTCCACACCCTTGCAACACCAATGACATCAGTGCATAAGAGGAAAGTTAGAATTTCCCACTGGCTCCATCAAGATGTAGCTAACGTGCCACATTGCTTTAAAAAATGAAGCTAGTTAAAACAAATCTGATTAACAGGTTCGGGTACGATAATACACATTTAAAGCCAAAGCCTGCACAAGGCATAGGCACCTCTGTCCCTCGTGTGACAGCAGGGGAGGACGAGGAGCACTACTGTAGGAGTGGTGCCTACACCACAGCACCAAGGGATTGTGTTCTGACAGGTAGTGCTGTGTGTGGTCAGTGAATGTGCTGGGACCAGGGGTGGGGATGGTTTGTGGTAAGAAGAGGTACACACTGTCCTCAGCCCACTACCTCAGCTTGCTCAGCATCCTCAGGGGGGCTCTGGAAAGCACCATGTGACTGGCACACTTCTGTGCCTTCCCCCATTGCCCTGAGTGGGTAAGTGTTGGATTTTGCCCTTGCTGCTGTCAGGTGGTGTGTGCAGGGATCGTTCCAGGAAGCACAAGTTAGGAGGGCTTTCGGGAAGTTTGCTGAGGATGGTGAAAGGTGAGCGCTTTTGCAAGTCTTCCAAGACACAGTATGACACCATCACTGGATCCATGATTAATGTTTTAATCCATGGGCGTTTGTGCTCTGAAACTCCTGCTAGGCCTAATTCTCTCACGCACCAGTTTCACATCGGTATAAACCCATTGACTTCAACGGAGTCTCTCCTAATTTTCACCAGTGTAAATGAGAGCTAAATCAGGCTTCTCTTGCCAAACTTTGATGGGCATTTAGGCCAAATCCTCTGCTGTTGGAGTCAATGGGAATTTTGCAGCTGACCTCAGAGACACTGCAGGATATGGCTTTTTGGATTAGAGTGGGAAAATCACAAGGCCTAGGTGTGGCAGTGTGACTGCACCGCTAAAGCCCACCTGCAGCAAGGCACTTGTTTTCTCTGTCTAGAAGCAATGTGTTTTCTTTGGGGGTTGGTTGGTTAAGAATTTTGAATAAGCTTGCGGTACTGCCACCTGCTGCATGACTTCTATGCTGGAAGTGCCCTAAATGCAATCAGTCTTGCCCACTAATAATAAGGGTCCCCTCGTCCCCCCCATCTGCCTTAGACTTAGTTCTTTTTTATTCATTTAGACATTTAGGCCTGTCCTCTGGATGTGACTTCACAGCATCAGCTATTACACCGCTGACATGGATAACATTTCCAAACATATGTAATAAATAGCCCAAAGCTCCTATGTGACAAATAAAGTTTGTGATAATTTTGAAGACCACACATGAAGTCTTTAAAAAAGAGTGAGTTTTAACCATTTCCATAACTCTGCATGCGCCACAGCGGAGATGATTAAGAATGGGTATCTTCTTTCCTCATTTGTAGCCAAAAACCGGTGCACAGAATGTGTCTGCCATGATGAACTTGCTCATATAAAGTGATCATATTGTGCACCCTGGCTGGTCTGTTATGAAATAAACGGCTTCACTCTGGCGGACTGGATAGGATTATATGCTGAATGTGGGAATGTGCAAACTTCTATGTATAGTGATAAAAACAAACTCCATAAAAACTTGTGGCTGAAGCTAAATCTGAAGGGGGACAAATTAAATGGACAAATTATTCTTTCATAGGAAAATTGTCTCTCATTCTTTCTTAACGCATAAAGACAGACACACATTTGCAATTGGCACTGTTATTTTATTAGTACGAGTATACTGAAACAATAAACTTGTACTGGTATACAGACAGTTTCTTTAAAACAATTTTGTTCAAATTTTGAATCAAACATTGTTTTATTATAATAATGAAATAATTTCTACCTAGAAAACCTGCAAGCACCATCAAAGAAAGGGACCATAAAATTCAATAAACAGACGCGAGTGTATCCTACAAATAGACACACCACCATTAGAAAATAGAATATGAATTCTTCCATTTTTTTAATATTTGTTTTAAAAAAGCTAGTGCAAGTACAATATTTTACACTGGAATTACAGAGAGTATGCACGCATATGGAAAAAAGTTCTCCTGTCACAATAAAAGCTCTTAACTATGTCTGTATGCACTTAAAATTTTCTCCTCTTTTCATTAAGGTGCAAAACATTATTCCCTCCCTATTTCTCCTTTGTACTGGCCATGTCAGCTTGATTTCTCCTCAACACAAAGCTGCATTATCCCTTTTTCTGAGCCTACATTAGGCGCAACACTGGAAGTGTGATTTGCAACAACCCTCTTCAGAAATACCAAGCAATGAAAACCTTGGAGACTATTATTGTAGAATCACTAGACTTACCCACACGAGGACTTTCCTCAAGTGCCATGGCTAGTTGGCCAGTCCAAGCCTGCTGGCTCTCAAAGACTGTGACACTGCTACTACAAAATTATTTTCAGTAGCTAATTTGAATGGAAAAGTTTGGAAATTCCCCTTTTTAAACACTGCAGAGAGAACAGTGTTCACAAAAAGTTAATATTTTAAAAAAGCCAAAGACAGAAATACATACATTAGTGAGTTGCCACATTAGCTGACTGTCTGCGAAAAGTTATACCTGCCGCCTTAATAAGATTAGTAACTTTGCTAAGTAGCCAAAGGGCCAGACAGAAGACATGAATTCAACCACTTGCAGCCACAGTTACAGAGATCCAGCAACTACTGACTTCAACTGGAGAGAGAGAGAGAGAGAGAGAGTGTGTGTGTGTCTCTCTCTAAAGCTAGAATCATCAGGCTCTTTATTTTTAAAGCAAACATCAGGGGCCAGATCTAGCTGGCTGCTGCTGTTTTCACACAACCCAGTAGTACAGCTTCAAAGAGTAAGGATTAATGCAAACAACACTTCCAATGCATGCCTGCAGCATGGTCAAGGGAAAGGGCGCAGGAGCTTTGACCACTCTGAATAGAAACAAACGAATGAACAACAAAAAAGCCAAACTTGGATGAAGCCTCCAATTAATTCTCAGTGGAAGACTTGAGTCCTTTCAGATAACGACGAGTAAAACTATAGCAATCTTAGAGACTGTTATTGTATAACTACCTATTGGCTGAATGCACTTCATTCTAATACATTTGGGGCCATTCTTTTGGGTGTCAAGGAGTCATTTTAACGTAATTATTTCCCCCCCCCCATGTGACCATTAGGTATCAGAACTGAAGCTTGCGTTACAAGCTGTCAGGGGAGGGAGAGAAGGGTTCTGAAAGTTAACTGTTTATCCCGGCGGTGCGTAGGCTCCCAGCTGTCCAACTTGACCTTTGGCCAAGGAAAGGGCCCTTTCCTTGGAAATGGCTCAAGGATTCTTTCATTTTGGCCTGTGAATAACATGAATCTCTAAATCAAATGAGAAAGAACCTGTCCAAGCTCAGAGCACATCTGGAAAAACTGAAATTCATGTCTTTACCCCCTGTTTTAATGAGGTGGGAGGGTGTGTGTACACAAAAGGCCATGTCTCGTTGGATATTACTCTTATTTACTGGTAAGCGAGGATCCCTTGTTATAAACACTTCTTGTTCAAGTTATAGTCTTTGGGTTGATTGGAACAGGAAGTGCTGAAAATGTAGAACAGCATCCCAGAGGGAGTAAAGAAGTTACAATGGCTTCAGAATCTAAACTATGCAGGGTGCTTTAAGATATATTTTCAGCGCAGGAACAAACAGTGTGAAGCATTCCCCCCTTCCCCTGCATTGGGATTTATGTGATATGAACAGAAAATTGAGTATAGTTGTTCTTTAAGAGCCTTTTAAGTATATAATTCTTCCTGTCCAGAGCCAATACAAATCAGATCATCTAAATGTGACAGTTTCTATATACAAAAAACATGTAACTTTCAACCTTTCTCTGCTTTTGTACTTTAAAAAAAATTTCTTTTTTTTTTTTTTTTACAAACAAGGTATGAAACACACTGTTTCAACAGATCCATCTCTTTTTCAAACACTGAATGAATCATTCCAACATTCATTTTTCTTTTGTGCAATTTTTTAAAACATTACCTGTACTCCTCAATGTGAGTGCTTCCAAAAAGTTTTTTTTTTTGTAAGCTTCTCAAATTAGGTTTACATCAAAAAAATATTCCCACAAGGTATAGTGCTACAAGAAAAGATCCTATCAGTAAGGTAACACATCTGAAGCGAGGTCGTCTATGTAAAAGAAATTAACTCTGGAGTAGAGGTGTGCAACTTGTTTGGAATTTCCTTATCAACAGAAAACACAACACTGTCCTTGAAAAGGATACAAAATCAACTGAACATAATCATTTGCTTTTATGTGTGTGTGTGTGTGTGTGTGTGTGTGTGCGCGCGCATGCACATGTATACGCACACATACACCTCTATGTTTGTGGGTGGACTCTTTTTTTATTTCAGGATTTTGGGGATTGGGAAAAAAAAGCCATGAAAAGAAAAGCACTGACCACACTCTGCTAAAATTCCATTGCTTTTCACATCAATACTGGGTAAGTCCACAGATTGGACTCTGCTGTTGTCTGGTGCTGTCCGCAGTCACGGGAAAGGAAGAAGTGGAAATTATTTTAGAAGAGTGCAGGTTGCACTTTCCCATTTTTGGGTATGCGTCATAATAGAAGTGACAACAGGTCAGATTCTCATCTCAGTTACACCCGTGCAAGTCTGGACTAACTCCACTGATGTCAATAGTTACTCCAAACGTATAGCTGTTGTAACTAAGATCACAATCTGGCTCTAAATGATCGAGCCACTAATTTCTGTAAACACTTATCCATGTAGTTAACATTAACATGTATAGTCCCCCTGCCTTCCATAGGCCTAATCGGATACTTAAAGTTAAGCACATGCATAAGTGTTTGCAGAACTGTGGCCTCCTGCCCATGGCATTACATACTAAGAACCCTAGTGAAATAACACTATTAGTGTTTTTTAAATAGTTAAGATTCGTTCTCCCTGAAACATTTTTTTTTCATTTTAGTAGTCACATGCATTAACAGAATTTCATTGTTTTCTTTAATATTGGCAACATACTTAGGTAAAATTAATCTCTATGCAACAAGAGAGTCTCATGGTAACCAACAGCTACGGTTCACGTTGAATCTGCTGCTTTGTATTGCAATTTATGTGATATCTACAAAGTTAATCCACGAGATGCAGGAAATCCAAACTTGTCCTTGAAATTGTACATCCCTACTCCAGAGCAGTAAAAGTGCTGCTTCTGGTCACATCAGTGTACCACACATACGCCAGCCCCATCCCTGAGTAAGAGGTGTGAAAGGTTTCTAAATGTTCCTTGCTTTAGGGAAACAAGAGCAGTGATGTCACTTCCTGGTGCTGAGAAAATGACAGAACAACGGTTTAACGAAGTGACGACAGGGTTAAAAAAACAGAACCCCCCCCCACCCAAACATACATTAAAAAAAAAATCCCCCCCAAACCCCACAACAACAATGTACAAAATCATTAAATAGTTCAAACAAAAATCCAATTTGGGTTTCAACTAAAGGACTTGAGGTAAGTGACATCAAACTCCAAATTCCCCATGATGTGGCCCAGACAAACTGAAACGATGCCTAAGTTAAACACTATAAGGAACAGTCATTATATATAGAGAGATAGAGAGATATATTGGTTTTTTAGAAATCCCTATAAAGAGGTTCTTGTTTATTTTTTTCTTTTGCCCTGACTAAATTTCTTGGTGATTGTATGCATTTCATTGTAAACTAAACAGGTCTGGTACAAAAAAAAAAAAAAAAAAAAAGACTTGTCAGTTAATATTGCAAAGTGGACACTGTACAGAGGCACATGACTCATCCTTTTACACTGAACTCACCTAAATATTTCTATGCCTGTGATTGTTATTTTCACTGTGCACCTCAAGCCACAAGAATTCTAGCCACATCTACACTTCAACACTAGATCGACCTAGCAATGTTGCTCAGGGCTGTGAAAAATGTCATACCCTGAGTACCACAGTTAGGTCGACCTAATCCCCAGCGTAGATGTGGCTAGAATTCTTCCACTGACAGAGAAGTGGAGTCACTACTGACGGAAACCCCCCTTCCATCTAGGTAGGAAGTGTGTACACTACAGTGTGGCAGAGTTGTAACTATGCTGCTGGAGAGCAGACATCCCCTTACTCCTTTGAGCTATCAATGGGGCAACTCACCCCATTGGATTAAGGATTTACTCACGTGAATGAGGGGTCATGGGCCTGCTAGTTCATTGCAACTGGAGCCAAACTCCAGATTCAGCCAACTGAAAGTAGTCACCTCTTTCTGTCCATTTAGGGGTGAAATTTACTCCTGTACAGAGAGCCAATACCAAGTTAATGCACCCGTTAGTGACATAAGTGGTGTATTGGCTTTTTGCACAGGGGTGAATTTCACCCACATTGTACATCAAGCAGATAGTAACATTCATATACACGTGCATGTAAAGTATAGGTATATTATATATATAAAGTAACAGTTACAGGCATAGATTGAAAAGAAAATGACACTGATAATGCTGTAGAAGGCTGCTTTCACTCATGTAAGAGACGATGTTATTTACTCATGACTGAACTGTTTGCGATTTACAGGTCCCTCACATTCACAAAATTCTTATCCCCCCCTTTAAAAATCTTTTTTTGTGGGAGGGAACATCCACTAAGCCTTTTTCTGGATCTTCTTTATATTGCGGAGGCCAGGGACTTACATTTGAAAGAATATGGACCATCCAGGGCCATCGATCCATGTGTGCCACACCTGTTAACTACATACAGATTCTGTGCCCCCAATCAAGGGAGGTATAAGGCCCTAAACACTTTTATTTTGGGAGGAGGAGGGTAGAGAAAACAGTGAAAGAAAACAAAAAGGTGAAAGTGGAAGAGGGTGTGAGATCTAGCTATCACCACGTGGGTGGGTCTACGTTGGCACATAAAGTATTGCACATCCTAAAAAAGCAAAAGCACAAAAAGGGACAATTGCTTGGAAGGAACCAATTATTTCAGAATTCCTAAATCTGAAATACAAGCACAGAACTAATACATTCCTATTGCTCCAAACTTTTTTTATTTGTTTATTGTTAGTGTTAGTAGAATAGATCCAGTCAGTTTAAGAGTCCCTGCTTCTTTATTAGCCAAAAAGATGTGTGTGTGTGGTTTTATTTCAGATTTTCTGAGTATGTGTATTATGAATATAGTGGTACTAACGTGAACTAAAATCTAATTCTGCCCACATCTTTCTATTCCTCTTACCATCAAAGGTTAAAACATAACAAAAAACAAAACAAACAAAACAACAATAAATTGCAAGTGCCCTGAGCGGAGTATATGGAAGATTAAGCAAGTTCTCTGAGCAGAAACGTTAAAAAAAAGTACAGCACTAGATAAGCAGTGTGACCGTGAGAATGAACCTGCTCAGCTGTTTGGTAGCCTGCTGAGAGGTTAATGAAATTCAAGAAAAGTTTCAAGCTATTTTAAACTTATTTAAATCTTTTTGGTGCACCGCAGAAAATGGTATAAAAACAATTAGTTCTGGTGTGAGCTAAATTTCAAGTAATGAATAAAAGAACCAAAAAGCTGTGGGGTTTTCAGATTTTTTGTAAATAAAGGAGCTGGAAATACTGTATTTTAGGAGCAGGAAAAATGAGATTTTTAAGGAATTTGTTCATTTTAGATACTGTATTTCTAATCAAGAACTTTTATAGCCTACTTCTCCCTATTAGTACAGCTTCTTCAAAAGTATTTGAAGGATGCAAACTCAATTACAAAACAAAAGTAATAGTAATATAAAGGGTTGATCATGGAGGGCCTAATCCAAAGCCCACTGAAACCAATGGGATTGAATGCAATGGGCTTCAGATCACACCTGAAGTGCTTAGTACTTGCACCTCCCGTTGACAGGAACCAAAGGTGCACAGCACCTCTAAGGATCCGGCCCTACCTTTGTTTCAGATTACTGGGAACAAAAAAGACTTAACTGTCTGAAATCACCATTCCCTCTTACTGTTTTGTACCAAACTCTGAAATCAAGATTGTATTTCAACTGGAAAATGTCATTAAAACAACAAATAATAATAATAATAAAATAATAACAGTTGGGTTTTTTTTATAAAATCCTGCTTATGTATAGAGATGTCTTTTCTGGAAAACTCTCTCAATGTATCTGAAGAAAAATTCTCCGAGTTGTCCTGCTAGGACCTGGTTCTGTGCGACAGATATGGCAGAAAGACCAAAAATGAACTTTAAAAGGAACATAACTCTATAAAATGGCCTAGAGCTTAGGCAGGTTAGTAAATAATTGCTACATTTGTTTATGCTCTCTCAGTCCCCCTCCCTTCCCCACAACATTATTAGGTAAAAACTGCAGGAATACCACACAAATGATAAACTCAAGATGTGCAAATTGCAAGATTCTTTAAAGTCCATCTTTTTCAAAAACACTGGACAATAATGATTTTTTTCCTCTTTCTTTTTTCCTCTCTCTTATTCTTTTATTATCTGTCAGCTCGCATATGCCTTTAACTCTTTCTCAAGCATTAAAGTTTTAAAAGTGCCTCCTATTAAGTAGTCCTTTGTGGACAATGACTGTCACATACTAGTTCAATAATTCACATTCATCCCTTTGAAACCACATTAAAATTTCCAACATCTTGCTTGTGAGAAAACTCTACATAGTCATATGTAGTTAACAGTGTTGAATAGATTCTTTTTTTCCCCCTCAAACAGATTAAAGTGAGATACAGTACTTATTGAGTGTTAGACCAGGATGCTCGACAAGAAAGCGTGAACAGCATTTTAAGTGCTTAAAGACATTCTATGTTCATCTTCAACGTCCGATTCCTTGTGTCACACTGAATTTTGAAAAAAGTGGCACCAGTTGTCCATCGTCATGAACTAAAAACAGTACTAGAGTTAAAGACAAAGATTTGCAACCTAAATGCAAACAATTTATGTCTGCGCTCTCAAAGGGGCAGTACGTGTCTACCTTGTGGAAGCAAATGTCAATGGCATAACCTGATCAATTTATCTAACACTGCACAGAACCAGAAGTTTCCCCTTAGCTAGGGGACCCAACGAACTTTAGGCTTCCCTCACCCTGGCTATGTCATTAAGAAAAACTAGCAGTGTAACAATGCAAGCATAGAACCTTACTGAATGTTACACTCTGGCAATGGAACTGCACTAGCAAGCCGAAAAGAAACATTTGCGTGGCAGTCACTTTATGAATAAAATTCAGTGCAGTCGGACCCCATGGGGGAAAATATATATACTGTAGAGCCTTGACTAAGAGTTGGTTTGATTGTGAAATGTGTCAAAGACTGTCTGATCCTTTTTTAATAATGTGTGTGTGTTGGGTTCTTAGTGTGCTCTTGGCGCGAGAGAACCTCCTAACGACCCAGCCAGGGAGCTGCAATCCCTCCTTGGGACTGAAACACACACAGTGCATGCAGTGCAGTTTATCTCTGCTACAGTTCCCATCTCGTCACCTCACAGAAAAAAGAACAGCTGGAGTCTGCTCTACACTAGGTGACAGAAAACAGGAGCCATGACAACACATTCATTTCCACTAAGGGTGCGTGAAGCAGATACTGCCCCTTCTGTAGCTCTCAATAAATCTAGTCACTGACAAAACACTTGTGGAAAAACATATGCACCTGTCTCCTGCATAATACCAGCTGCAACTATAACAACAAGGTTATAACATAAACCTAAAATAAGATGATAACATGTAAATACTGGGTTATTTAGTCTACAGTACAGTAATCTGGATAAAAATGACAAGGGATAGCCTAATTTCCTTTCCCCAAACAGCCTTTACTTGCCTACATTAGATCGACCTTCAATGCAAATTTTAACCTCCTGAGGAATAAAAGAAGGCTTGGGAAGAGTCAAAGGTGGTTCCTCTTCTGATTTCTCTAGTTTCCGTGTTTCAGGGGCCGACCACCTCCTCTTCCTCGTCGCCGTGGGCTTGCTGGGTTCTGTTTTGGTGAGCAAAGGTGCTGCAGGCAATCCTATTTTGTCCAGAAACTTCAGTTCACCATTCTCAGATAACATCTGTGCACTTCCCTGATTAATACCATTTTCCTGCTCCACATACCTGTGTCTACTTCCAGCTAGACTGTCATTCTTTGAGTGCTTCAGCAAGATACTAGCTGAATCCATGGGCTGGCCCTTTTTAATAGAGCCATTCTTCAGATTCTTGAGAGTAAGCGATATGCAGACATCCCCAACTGAGAGTTTGGAACATGGCAAATCAAAGAGGTGGCTGGTTCTCTCAGGGCAGCAGGACGACCAGCCTTGTCCAAATACAAAAAAAGGGTATTCGACCAAGACTTCAACGCTGACCTGTAGAAAGAGAAGAAAACGAGAGAGAGAGAGAGAGAGAGAGAGAACATGAATATGAAAACATTGCTCCACTATAGCATGTGCTCAGTACACATACAGTTAAGGTCAACTCTTTAGTTTTAGCTGGAGAGACTGATAAATATGTGCACTGTAAAAGTTTATTCAGTATCCATAATGACAGGTTTCAGAGTAGCAGCCGTGTCAGTCTGTAATGTCACTACACTGGACATTAAACTTAATGTTAATGCCCTTTTAACAAGGACAAACAATTCCTCTGAGACTGGCCAATCTACAGCACAAAACCACAACAGTGTTTGAGCCTTATCTTTATCATCTGCTCAACAACATGCAATGAAGCTTGGGCATAAACAGTTCGGATACCATTTATTAATCTTTTATTCACTGTGCATTTATTTTGTATAGCCTGCCATTCACATTTACCTTAATCCTTAGAAGATGAGGTTACTCACCTTGTGCACTAACTGGAGTTCAAGATGTGTGTCCCTGTGGGTGCTCCACTTTAGGTGTGCATGCGCCCCTGCACCTTTGATCGAAGCATTCTGGTAGCAATGCCTGTTCTGCCAGTTCATGTGCCCTACACATCCTCATGCCCAGTACCGAGGCTATTACAGGGCTGTGTGGGTGAGCTGCCCTCAGTTCCTTCTCTACTGTAAAGCCACAGAGGCAGCTCCGAAGCAGAGGGTGGAGGACAAGTAGTACAGCACCCATCAGGACACACCTCTGAAAGAACTCCAGTTACTGCACAAGGTGAGTAACTTCTTTGAGTAAGTGTCCCTGTGGGTGCTCCACTTTAGGTGACTCCCGAGCAGTAACCCTTTAAGGAGGTGGGAGTTTTGGAAAGGGTCCATCACTGAAGAAAGAACTGCATTGCCTAATACCACATCTGATCTTGCAGTGTGAATTAGGGCACAATGGTTGGAAAATGTGTGCACCGAGGGCCAGGTTGGAGCCCTGCAGATTTAAGCAACTGGAACATCTTTGAGTAGAGCTACTGATATAGACGGGTCTAGTAGAGCATGCAGTCACTTTTAGGGGAGGTGTAACCTCAGCAAAGCCACAGCAGGCAATAATCTGTTTAGAAAGTCTTTGAGTGTTGATAGGCATTCCCTTAATGCTATCTGCAACAGAAACAAAAAGAGGCTTGGGGTCTTCCTGAATGGCCTAGTCCTGTCCAAGAAAAAGGCTAACACTTGCTTAATATCTAGCAAACTGATGTGGTTTAGGGAAAAAATGGAAGGTGACTAGTTTGGTTGATATGAAATTGAGAGGAAACCTTAGGTAAGAACTTTGGATGAGGTCATAAAAATACCTTCTCCTTGGGGAACAAGGGAGAATCTGCCATTAGAGCCCGTATCTCCCTAACCCTTCAAGAAGAAATGATGGTCACCAAGAAGGCAGTCTTCATAGACAGATACAGCAGCAAGCACATAGCTAATGGCTCAAGAGGTTGTTTCATGAGATGGTTAAGAAACGGGTTGAGATCCCAAAGCAGTGTAGGGGCTCTAATTTGCAGAAAAAGATAGATAAGTCCTTCTGGAATTTCATTGCAGTCAGATGAGCAAATACTAAGAAACCTACTGGCACATGGAAAGCTGTTATTGCCGCTAGGCGAACCTTGCTGGGAACTCACAGAAAGGCCTGGATATTTCAATTCCAATAGGAAATCCAAGACTGAGGAAAGAGATGACTGGATAGGAGAAAGATGGTGCCAGTTACACCAAAGGTGTTATGCAGGAGGTCAGACTAGATAATCATAATGGTCCCTTCTGGCCTTAAACTGTATCAATCAATGAATTATAGATGGTATATACCAACCATTGCTACTTCATAATATAGAAAGTATTCCAGAGCCAAGATTTTCAAGGTTATATACAAGGAACTAAATAAGTGGCTTGGTTTTCAACAGTGCTGAGGGACCAGTAGCTTGTGATGACCTGAATGGAAGCTGCTGGCTGTACAGTGCATATCTAGATGTGGATCAACCGGCTGACTTTGAATCTACTAGTCTATTAGTTCTCTTTGATTTTACTACCTCGTCTCTATATCTTTCCTTCTTCTCTTCTATTTCTATTGGTCTTCTTTCATTTTCTCTCAAACATGCCCCATGTACTCTCCCCAAAGGGGTATTTCTTGTTCAGTGAAATGTGTATCTGCTCACTGACTCCCATCTTCAGCTGGATGTAAGCAATGCTTGCATTACATGTCTAACTACTTTCTACAGGGTTTAATATGTAAGCATGTACTTAACATGTAATTCATTAAAACCGCCCTCCAAAATTGCAGGTGTTGATCTTAAATAACAAAGATGGCAGGATGCTAACCACTGAGGTATTTCTGTGGTTCAGTAATGATATTCAAACAAACAGGATATAGCTCTTTGTTACAGATGGGACACATTTTAGAAAGAAAGAAGAAAACTAGGAACTGCCTCTGTTTTAGACAACTGCCAGTAAAAAAAAAAAAAAAAAAAAAAACTGGGTTAAAAAGATAGCCCATTTTCATAAGCAATGAAACTTTAGTCCCTCCCCAAAGTGGGGCTTGAGTGAACATGTCCTGCATTTTTTGCTTGTGCATAAGGTTTTTTTTTAAAAAGGTGACTCCATCTGAGTCACCCGGCCTTGCTGTATTTTCTTAGGAGAGAAGCGAGACTGTTTTAAAATCATGTCTCCATGTTTCTAGCATTTAAACAATAAAGCAAGAAAATAAAATGTACGTCCCTCTTGAAGCACATCTGAAGGTGCTGCTGAGATTCTTTATATCCCAGTGTTGTAAAAATCATTTATGAAAACAGTCAAAACTTTTCAAGAGAGTCAAAGAATATCTTTGAATGTTTCATCTAAATCATGCAATCGTTTTAATTCACAGTCTGACTCATTTTTTAGTGGAAGCAATTTCCGTTGTTCAGGAAACACGCCCTGGCACTGGAATGCCTGTGATACACGCTGAGAACACCAGTTTAGATGAAATGTCACCCGCATCACTCAGACTGCAGTGGATTTTACACAGCAATGCAGACATGGAAGAGCTTTAGGTTTGCGGCTCATTGCTATAGTTCCTTTAACAAACAAAGTAGAAACTACCTAGTACAAGGGGTGCAGTTGGTTAATTTGTGGACTGAATGTCTACTTTCTGGCCAAGTTTCTTCCTCCTTTGTGTATTAAAGCCTGATTGAGCTACTTTGGCCACTTTTAATGGTCCCAAAGATCAGTCCAGCTACAAACGTGGAACATGGAAAATAAAGGCACAAATGCTTTAAGATAATATATATGTCATACCATCATTCTCTGCTTATGCTGCTGTATGAGAGCCCAATCCTGTGAAGGACTGAGCACCCTCATCTTTCATTAAAGTCCATAGGGGCTTGGGGAGCTCAGCATCCCATAAAAGGGTGTAATTCACCCAGTTCCAGAGAGGCAGTGCAAGGCCCTCTGCTCTCCGCCAGCCCAGTGCTGGGGCTGTGCCGAGGGGAGTGGTGCCTCTTCACATTCTCAGTGCTGAGGAAGGGTGTCAGTGCAGAGCTGGTGTGGAGGACAGTAAATGGGAGTGAGCTGAGGAAGCTGATCAAGCTGAGTTAGCCTTACTTGGATTCCCCCCCTGCACTGTCACTCCTCTCCCCCTGAGGAGGAGGCAGGATATTGAAGGCAGCAGCCTGTGAGAAGAGCATGGCAGCACCACTCTTAGAGGGAACTGTGCTGCCATGGGAGAAAGGGGTCTAGCTTGCACTGCGAAAGCATTGGGTACACACAGACACACACAGACACACACACACACACACACACCCTACCTCTGCCCGTTGTGAGTCTCCCAAGATGGGTGCAGGCCCAAGACATGAATGTTTCTGGAACATTAAATTCCCTGCCTGACCAAGAAGGGGACCCTCCCTCCCACCCCCCCAGGATAGAACAACTAGGAAAAAAGTCTGGAGGCTGAAAGTCAGGGAGTTTTCTGCCCATCATGTGGCAAAATCCTGCACAGACAGAGTATCCGTCCCTCAGTTTCATTGGTTTGTATGTGGATTACAAATCTGTAATGGTTGTCTGCTGTGGACATAGGATACACAGGCCCTCCTTCTACTGGGCCCTTATTATCCGCAATGGGTATGGTGGTTTTTGCTCCAACCTTTCTAACATGTGGGCCCTACAACACCTTTCTTACCCAGTGACTTCTGGAATTTTAGTGCCACTGGGCTCTCCAGACCGGGTCAGAAGAGTGGCATCCTGGAGAGAGAATCAACCCTAGCACTGGAGGGATCACAGATCGAGCTCTTCACAAATCTGTGATCCCAAACCTGACTAGCACTGGGGAATTAAACAATGATTCACAAGGAAAGCAATTTCTGTTTGCCAGTGCCACACAGGGCCTTGAGTGCTGCCCTTTCAGAAGCTAAGAGAACAGAGTAACAAATTTAAACATACAATACAGCCTCCCTATCGTTCACAGGGATATACAATTACTGCCCCTCTGACCAGAGAACAATGAAGTACAGATCACAGGAGCATATGACAGAGAGCACGCTCCATCTGTAGCAGAAAACAGTTAAATTCCCTCTTATTTCTGTTGCCATGTGCCAAGGCTAATTGAAAGTGGAGAGCAAAGCAACAGAAATAGTGACCAATTTGTGTGTGCAGAAATAGATGGAAAGCTAGACTGGATGCAGCACTTAAAATATACTTAAGGGAACAATGCTATGCTGGTGCAGGGATGGACTAGATGACCTAATAGGGCTTTTCCATCTTGAATTTCTATGATTCTACTAAAAACCAGAGATGGTGAAGAATGTGTTCATCATTTTCTTCTTTTGAACTGTACTTTAGTTTCCTCAGGAGACAACATTGCAGCACATTGTTCCATAACAATAATCAGTAACCAAAACCTTTTTTTAAAAAGCCAGCACTTTAGAAGAGTTATTTTGCTTCCACAGTGTGTATTGATCTAGTGTAAGTACAGGTGAACTACTGTACACCTTCTGTTTCCTTCTA